TCTCCTAGACAGGGAAACAGAATTTAATAGACTGCTCTCTCTCTCTTTTTTCCAATGGAAGTATGGTTGATTTACAATGTTGTGTTAGTTTTGGGTATATACAACAAAGTGATTCAGTTATTCATATATATATATATACATACATATTCTTTCCCATTATGGTTATTTATAAGATATTGAATATAGTTCCCTGTGCTATACAGTAGGACCTTGTTGTTTATCTACTTTATATATAGGTAAACATAGTAAATAAGTAGTTTGTGTCTGATAATCCCAAATTCCTAATTTATCCCTCTCCCATCACTTTTCTGCTTTGGTAACTATACATTTGTTTTCTATGTCTGTGAGTTTCATAAATAAGTTCATCTGTGTCATATTTCAGATTCTACATATGTTATCCACAGTATCTGTCTTTCTCTGTCTGACTTACTTCACTTTGTATAATAATCTCTAGGTCCCTCCATGTTGCTGCAGATGGCATTATTTCGTTTTTTTATGGCTGAGTAATATCTGTTGTATATAGCACACTGAATTGTATATTCATCTGTGGGCAGACACTGGATTGCTTCCATGTCTTGGCTATTGTGAATAGTGGTGCTGTGAACATTAGGGTGCATGTATCTTTTCAAGTTTGAGTTTCCTCTGATATATGTACAGGAGCGGGATTGCTGTATCACATGGTAACTCTATTTTTAGTTTCTTAAGGAATCCCCATACTGTTTTCCACAGTACCTACACCTATTTACATTCCCACCAATGGTGTAGAAGTGTTCCCTTTAGGAGACTGCTCTCTTAATAACTATTGTTGATGATCAAGGAAGATGATAGGAAGAAGATACTAAGGAAAGTCAGATGGACAAGTAAAAATCATCTCTAACCTCATCACCCAGGTAGAATCAAAGTTAAGGCTGCAATTTATGTTTTTCTAATCTGCTGTTCCAGGTATATATGCATAGACAGACAGACTTTCAAAGAGAACAAAGATCCTATCTTGTTTTTAACCTCTTTTTCCTTTAATATGGTGTGATCTTTTTCTCAAATCTTTTGTTATTTTCACACAACAGGGTTCTTTACCTCACTGGGTAGAAGACTCCACATTCTGTACCCAGTCATCTCACCTCATCTCTGTTCCTCACTGCAGTGGGTTGACTTGAGCATCCCCCAAAAGCTATGTCCACCCAATATCTCAGAATGTGACCTTATTTGGAACAAGGGTCTTTGCAGATGTAATTAAGGGAAGGATGTCGAGCTGGGATCTTCCTGGGTTAGGGTGGTCCCTCAGTCCAGTGGCAAGTGTTTGTATCAGAGACAGAAAAGGAGAAGACAGAGACATGGAGAAAAGAAGGCGTGTTGAGACAGCTGGGGACCTGGGACCCTTTGCTCAAGTTCTCACACTTAGACAAATGTCTCCTCCAGCAACACAATACAAGAAGCTACAGGGGACTAAAAATAACTGTGTACATGTGCAGTTGGGACAAATTATGAACAAAAAGATACAAAAAGACCAAAACCCAACTGCCACTTCTGAAGAGGTGGGATCAAAAGCAGGGTGACGTGCATGCCGCCTGCACACATCACCACGAAAGGGGTTGCAAACCATCTAAGCCACCCCTCTGGAATGACCCCTGAACACACCTTACCTTCACCCCATATAAGGAACAAGCTCACCCCTCTTCAAGGAGCAAGCCAGCAAGAGAACCTGTTACTTGCTCTCACTCCCCACCTTGCTGGCACAAGGATCCTAATAAAGCCTTGCCTGAATTTCTTGTCTGGCCACTTATCAATTTCTATTGATTAAGGAGGCCAAGAATCCTGGTCCATAACAATGTGAAGATGGAGGCAGAGACTGGAGTGATGTGTCTGCAGGCCCAGGAATGTGATAACCCACAGAAGCTTGGAGTGAGGCACGAGGTGGATTCTCCTCAGAGCATCCAGAAGTAATCAATCCTGCTGACCCCCTGATTTGGACTCCCAGGCTCCAGAACTGTCTGAGAATACTATTTTGCCATTTTCCCCCAAGTATTTATCTATTTTCACTTTCAGCTGTGTCAGATCTTGGTTGTGGTGCACAGACTTCTCTCTAGTTGCAAAGTGTGGGCTTAGTTGCCCTGTGGCAAATGAGATCTTATTTTCCCAACCAGGAATTGAATCCTTCATGTCCCCTGAATTGGACGGTGGATTCTTAACCACTGGACCACCAGGGAAATCCCAAATTTTTGCTTTTTTAAGCCACCAACTTTGTTACTTTGTTATGACAGTGCTGGGAGACTAGCAGACTCACACGCCTGAGGGCCTCTGCATTTACCATCCCCTCTGCCTAGAATGCCCTTCCTCCAGATTCTCACGTTGTCTGCTCCATCTTGTCATTCATGGCTCAGCTCTAGGTCACATCCCAGTCAGCCCAGCACCACGCCTTTTTTAGCCTGTCATCCTGCTTTGTTGGCTACAAGGTCCTCACAGTCATCCCAGGCTTCCTTTCCATTTATTTGTTTACCTCTTGTCTGGCCACCTCCCCAGTGTGAATGTAAGTTCTAGGAGAAGAGGGTCCCAGGGAACTTGTTCCTTGCTCTGTTTCGACCAACCACTCAGAATGCCACAGCACTGTTGGTGCTTAATACATAAAAACTTGATGCCAAGCAGGGCCCTGTGGGGCTCCTGGGCACAAGGACTTTCTGTTTCCCCCATTTCCTTGATTATAAAAAACAGCTTTCATTCAGCCTCCACAAACTTCCCTGAGTCCCGATGGGCAGATTCAAGCAGTTGTTAATTAGAGAAGGAAGGAGATGCGACACCAGGCAGAAACAGTCAAGAGCAGCCTTGGGGCAAGGTCCTGTTTCCCCATTGGGGAAACATACGACAATATCTTTGAGCCATTTTGCTGATACTGAAACCCCCACCAGGTCGGAGAAGTTAACAATTAATGATGTTATGGTCCCCACCAGCATGTAGACACCATACATGAAGGCTGATGGTGCTGACTCCCACTTACTTCACCACCAACCCATCAGAAGAATGTCCACAAGATGATCATGCCCTCCTCTTTGAACAATTACTGTAAAACTTCTCACTATCTTCCCCAACTGGGGACACACAGTTTTGAAATCATTAGCCCGCTTTTAACCCCCTTTGCCCGGCAAAACAATAAAGCTATTCTTTTCTACTTCACCCAAATCTCTGTCTCCAAGTTCCAATTCGGCACTGGTGTACAGAGAAACTGAGCTTTCAGCATCAAGCTGATGGGATGAATGAATAAAAGGACAAATGTGAGTTGTTTGGTTGTTCTGAACAAATCGTAGTTTCACAAACGGGTTCCCTGCTGACTCATGCACCTGAGTCTAGGGGAATCCCTACTCTCTTCTGAGCTCTTCTCTCCTCATCTCTTCCTCTTTAAGAAAGATGATCTCTGCTTTTAACTTTCAGTCTCTAGGAGTTAATTGAAAAATCAGACAAGCAAACTGCTCAGAAAGCACTTCAGAACCTCAAAATATCCATCTTTCTTCCTTTTCTGCCATTCCACTGGGGCCAGGAGTCCAAGTATCTGCCTTCCTTATCGGCATCCAAGTCACTATGTCAAAGCAAGCCTCATCTTGCTAAAGAACAATGAGTGGAAATGAGCATGTAACAGAAACCTGGACTGATCACCACCTCAAACCAGTACATCTCCTTTCCTTCTCAGCATTCAGAACTGAAACCATTCTGTAGGAAGGTCTCTCTTCCCCCTCCTATGGAAAAATCCCAGCCTGGCCAGATTCCTCTTTTTGATACACAAATACTAATAGCAGCATTCACCATACTATTAGCAGCATTCACCACCCCCTAAACAAAAGCAAAGTGCTCTTGCAATCCTGTCTGTACTGCCCTTCCAGATTAAATCACTTTTCTTTATTCCCAACTCTTTCCCATCCTTGTTCTAACGCATATGTAATTTTTGACTTAACTACCTCATGTTGTGGCTCAGATTCCACATCCTTTTCTTACACTTTACAGTGTGTGGTTGTGTTTTTTTTTCTATCAGGGCACAGTTAACAACCCATAAAGGTCTTCGCTTAAGTAAGAAGTCCATGTCTGTGAACCATCACCCAGACACATGCAACACCAGACTGTGTGTCTCATATCAAAGTTTATTGAAGGGGTAGATTTCTTATAAGAACAGAAACACAAGCAAATGAACCAGGAGGAAATCTTTCCTCCCTCTAACCATAGGGCGGCATTTCCCTTTGAGTGATAAAAGCAAACAGAGGAGGGAAGCTGCTTTCTCCCTGGAGCATTTTTAACTGCTCAACCTTCAAGTTAGTGTAAACAGAAGAGAAATGGATTGGCTGCAGGTTGTAACATAAATGCCATTTCCACTTGCTTAGTAACACTGTTCTGCTCAGTCCCTCCTGGGGCGAAGCCCCTTCTTACCACCACTGGAAACTCAGATACTAACCGAAGTTCGTGAATCTCTCTATCAGGTCCGTTTCTGCCAAATCATGGCTGAAAGAAGGATCGGTTCCACCGAACCCAGGTGACCTCCTGGCTTGTTTCATGATGCCTGGACTCCCTTCAGATGCAATAATTCCCCTCCAGTCACAGCTTTCTTTACCCCACTGGGAGCCCACAAGAAGCTAGACATTGCCCCAGGAGCTGAGAACCAAAAAAGTCTCAGGCAGGTGACAGGAAGAGGCCAGTTGAGTTCCAGGTGCCAGTGGGCCTCTCTGGCTCCAATACTCCAGCAGCAGAAATGTGGACAGTTTTACCATCTTCAGTTCTGCAAGTGTCCAAGATGGAACAGAAGTCTCAACACCTGGAAGCTTCATCCTCCATTCCCCAAGCTTCCCGTGGAGACACTCTACAGGCAAGCAGCCCACGCTGCCACACCAATGCCCTAAATCTGCTTCTCCGAATCTGGAAGTTCTGGGAAACCACAGACCAAGGCTCTGTTACTCCGTGCACCAGCCAAACTGCTTCTCCCGAGATCCTGGTCCTTGATGATCATCTCCCTTCTTGGCTTGACTTTTTTAACTGGAGACTGGATTCAGACAAGAGGGGCTCTGAGGCTCACTGGGATTGGCCATCAAAGCCTCGGGAACATTCTTGGTAGTGCTCAGATCCCCTGTGAGCTCGACGCTGGTGCTGCGGTTGTTATCCAACTCATCCGGCCCCTTCCTCTGCAGGCAGCGGTTGATCAAGGTGGAGAAGAAGTTGGGGAAAGATGGGCTGGAGAAGTAGTACACCAAAGGGTCCAGCATGCTGTTCATGTAGGTGAAGCTGAGGGTGATGTAAAACGCCAGGTCCACTGAACGATAGATGTCACAGTTTTCCGTGCCAGCCTTGTGCAAAAGCCAGAAAATATGTATGCGCACGGCCACGCTGGGCAGGAAGCAGATGATGAAGACAATGGCCACCACCATGATGAAGTTGATAGCCCGCTTGATCTTGGCATGTCTGTTCATTTGCCGCTGCCGCAGGCTCCAGACAATTCTGACTGAGCAGAACAGGATGATGCCCAGGGGCACGAAGAACTCCAGGAGGAACATGGCATCGTGCCAGCGGAAGGCATCACAGATGCTGAAACTGCTGCACAGTTTCGAACCCTGATTCTCAATCAACCTTGTTCTGTGCAGGAGGTGGACCGTCAGGCCAATGGTGAGGCCCCACAAGAGGCAGGAGATGATGCCCGCCGTCCGATTGGAGATCTTGTTCAAGGCGTGGTGGGGATGGACCACCCGGAAGTACCTATCCACGGCCACCACGGTGAGGAAAATGATGCTGCCCTGGCGGTTCATGGCCAACATGAAGAGCATGAGCCGGCACGGGATCTCCCCAAACTTCCAGTCCCACCTCCGCACATAGTTGTCCGCCAGGAATGGCAGGCAGATGATCAGGAGAAAGTCAGCCACGGCCAAGTTGAACAGGAAAACCCGGCTGGCTTTCCAGGACTTTAGGTGGAAGCAGAAAATCCACAGGGCAAGTCCATTGCCCAGGAGCCCGAACACGAACTCCAGCCCCACGACCGGCGGCAGCACTTTGGCAATGAAGTCATCGCGGAACACACAGCAGTTCTTCTCCCCTATTTTCAGAAAATGATTCTGTAGGTAGGAAGGGTTCATGAGTGAATCGTGTTGGCGCCAGGGAGCAGCTCACCTAGCCAAGGCTCAGGGAACAAGGTGTGGGTCTGAGTGGCGAACCTATGGTTCAGCACTTGCCTTTATGTCATGTCAGAGTGTTGAAACAGATGACTGAATGGTTACCAGGAAACTACGAAATCGCTTTAAGAAAAAAAAGAAGCCAGCAAGGCTCTTATGCAATCTGCTGTTTGCATAAACAAGTAATAAAAAAAATCCCCCAGGGAGACAGGAACCCACAAAATTTTCTAAATGTAAAGAATATGTTTGGGCAAGCCGACTGTCATTGTGAATTACTGAAATGTGTAAGCTTGCGTGCACGTATACTGAATACTTAGCACAGGAGAATCAATTCACAGTCATGTGGTTGTCTTGCATAATGAACAAAACAACAACAGCAATATTAATTTACTGTGCTCAACAGAAACATGACGAATTTACATGGAATATCTGCAGACATGTGTTTAAGAAACAGTAGGGTGTGTGTGATTTTTGAGGGGGGATGGAAGGCCAAGAGGATAGTAATTGTCCAGTATTTTATGAGGACAGATGTGTTGCATTTGATGTTTCCAGGCCATCTTCTCTGTACAAGCATGGATTGCCTTTCTACACCAGAATGCTGCAATTAATTCCCAGCTAAGGGGGGTGGGGGGAAGCTATTTTAGAGCAGCATGCCATTTCATAAGATACTGAAAACTTGAACCCAGTTTGGGTTGCCAGTGGTATGTTACAATAAGTTGGGTTTTTCCTTTGTTTGTGTTAGATTTTGAGATGCCTCCATGCTCAAGTAAGTAATTTATTGTTAAGGATATGATTTATTAAAATTAATAAGCTTTATTTTTTAGAGCAGTTTTAAATTCCCAGCAAAACTGAGCAGAAAGTACAGCGAGTTCCTGTTTACCAGCTGTCCCCATATGCAACCTCCCTCACAATGTGCCTATTTTTGATTTTTTAAAACTTTATTTATTTATTTATAAATTTATTTTTAAACAAATTTTACTTAATTTTAGCTGTGCTGGGTCTTCATTGCTGCTCTGGCTTTTGAGTGCAGACCACTCTCTAGTTGTGGTGCGCAGGCTTCTTCTTGCCGTGGCTTCTCTTGTTGCAGAACACAGGCTTTAGGGCACCAGGTTTCAGTATTTGCGGCCCTTAGGTTCGGCAGTTGTGGTTCCCAGGCTCTAGTGCACAGGCTCAGTAGTTGTGGCCCACGGGCTTAGTTGCTCTATGGCAAATGGGATCTTTTCAGATCAGAGATCGAATCCACGTCTCCTTCATTGGCAGGCAGATTCTTTACCACTGAGCTACCAGTGAAGCCCAATGTGCATGATATTTTAAAAAACCTCCATTTTTACAAAATTAAACTTTGAGGACTTAAGAAGACTTTGAACTCTGCCTTGCAGGAGGTCACCATTTCACACATCATTTTCTTGCTTTTCAGTATAATTGGGGATATAAATCCTTACAGAACATTTCTACCCTGGAATATTTTGGTTTGATGAATTCTTGCTGTGCAAGAGGTTCTCAGCTGTGTTGCTTCTACTCTGAGTGAGAACTAAGACATTTGTTTATTTTTATCTTTGAAAATTTGGCCACATCATGCGGCATGAGGGATCTTAGTTCCCGGACCAGGGATCGAAACTGCTCCCTCTGCAGTGGAAGTGTAGAGTCTTAATCACTGGACTGCCAGGGAAGTCCCAGACATTTGTTTTTTGTTTTTTTTTTTTCCAGACATTTGTTTCTTTAGTTTTACACCCAGGTTCTGCCATAGGGCTTTGTAGACTCCTCCCAGTAAACGGAAGTCAAGATGATCTAGTGTTAGGCTCACGTAGGAAGCAGTGGCACTTGACGAAGACGATGATGAAGATGATGTTGTCAGTCACGTTAGGGAGAGCTTCCTGCATGTTGGGTGGCATGCTCAGTGCTTTAAATACATTCATTTATTTTCCCCTGACTGCAGCCCATGACGTAGGGACTACTACTGATTTCTATTTCGAAATGAGGAAAGTGAAGCTCAGAGAAGTTGGCCGTATATATAGTCAAGGCTACACAGATCATAAGATTTGAATCTGGCACTGGCTTCAAAGCCTGCATCCCTAACCAAAACACTACATTGCCTCTTATTATATTATTGCCCCATCTGTAAGGCTGAACCAGATTGAGGTCACATTGTGTGGGTGTAGTAAGACTCAAATGAAATGACTAGCATTTGTTTCTGATCCTTGATGCTTGTCAATATCATGCTCCCTTCTCAGATGAATGTGGACTTGTCAGTGACATTCAGAAAGTAACCCTAAGGGCCTTTATTGGCTAAGAGTCAGAAAATCCAACTATTCACAATAGTTATTTCTGGGAGCTGGAATTTGCAAGGGATCTTCCCTTTGTAAGATTTTCTTTCTGTTTTGTTTTTAATTTTTATTGGAATATAGTTACTTTACAATGTTATTTTCTACTGTACAGCAAAGTGAATCAGCTATCAGGACATATATATGCCCTCTGTTTAGGATTTCCTTCGTATTTAGATCACCACAGAGCACTAAATAGAGTTCTTTGTTGTACAGTGGGTTCCCATCAGTTACCTATTTCATACATAGTGTGTATATGTCAATTCCAATCCCCTAATTCTTTTTTCCCCTCATAGACTGTTATTTATCTGTTTATTTTTATTTATTACTTTAAAAACTTTAATTGGAGGTTGATTGCTTTACAGTGCTGGGTTAGTTTCTGCTGTAAGCAATGTGAATCAGCTCTAAGTATAAAAATACTTATGTCCCCTCCCTCTCCAGCCTTCCTCCCGCCCCTCTAGGTCATCACAGAGCCCTGAGCTTTACACTTGGTAGTGTATACATGTTAATGCTACTCTTCCAATTCGTCCCACCCTCCCCTTCCCCCGCTCTGTCCACCTCTGAAAGTTTTATAATTTCATAATATTTGGATAAAATGAGGAAAGAACAAGAATGGATATTGCTTCATTTGGAAAAAAAAAGAGAGAGAGAGAGAGAGAGAGAAGTTGGAGGCCCTGGATGCTTTTCTCTGGCTCCATCATTACCCATGAAACCTCTTAACCCCTGAACTTCCCATGTGTAATGTGGAAGATGGGACCATCTTCCAGATCCCTTCCACCTCTCACATCCTAGGATTCTAAACCCAAGTTCACACCTGCTCAGAAAGAGGGTCGATCCTGGCCTCCCTGGATCCTGGCCCTGCTGTGGAATTCCCAGTCTTACTACTGTGTCATGAGCATGTTTTTTCTTGCTCCTGTCTTCCTTTTATGCATTTTTTTTTTCTTACTAGTGCATGAGCTGTACAGAAACTTGTTTTAGTGATTCATTTCAACAGCTCAAGCAGTGATTCCACCAAGTTTGGGGGAACTCCACTTAACATTTATGACTTTCACCATTAACTCAAATCTCCCTTCTTAGTTCTGTTATCACAACTGGAATGTGCCCCAGAGCAGGATGGAACTACTTTTTAAAATTAAAAATAACAATAGCTTTCATTTACCAACTGCTTGCTTTGTGCCAGACATGCGGTTAAGAGCTGTATATACATGATCTCATTTAATCCTCTCAGAAACCCATGAGCAGTTGCCCTGTTATGGTCACAGATCAGAAACCTGAGGCTTAGAGAGGTTAAGTAATTCATGGTTTGTCTTTTTTTTTTTTTTTAATTGAAGTATAGTTTATTTATAAGGTTGTGTTCGGTGGTAGCGATTTAGTCCCTCAGTTGTGTCCAACCCTTTGCAACCCCTCTGTCCATGGGATTCTCCAGGCAAGAGTACTGGAGCAGGTTGCCATTTCTTTCTCCAGGGGATTTTCCTGACCCAGAGATCGAACCTGGGTCTCCTGCATTGGCAGGCAGATTCTTTACCGACTGAGCTATAAGGGAAACCCAATGTTGTGTTTAATTTTTGCTGTATAGCAAAATGACTCAGATATACATATATATATATATGTATATGTATGTAGTCTTCATATTCTTTCCATTCTGATTTATCACAAGATATTGAGTATATCTCCCTATACTGTGCAGTAGGGCTTTGTTGTTTATTCATCTGTCCCTGGTGGTCTAGTGGTTAGAATTCGGCACTCTCGCTGTTTGTCGTTGAACATAGCTGAGGTTTCTGTTTCAGTGATCTATTACTATTTCAAAAACCACCACAGATTTTAGTGGCTTAAAACAGTCACTGTTAAAAAAAAAAAAAAGGAGTCACCATTGTATTATCATGGCTTGACTGAACTTAGCTAGTCAGTCCTTATTTGGGGGTCTCTTAGATGGCAGGGAGGCTCACGCATGCCACTTGGGGTGCCTGGACATCCCTTCCTCTTCATATGGTCTGTGTCTCTCTCTGTGGCATCTGTACACAGCCTTTTCACATATTCTTTCCACTGAGTATGCTGGACTTCTTACAAGGCTACTCAACATTTCCAAAAGCACACAAGCAGACTCTCTTTCTTTATCTCTCTCTCTCTCTCCCTTCTTTCTTTCCTTCCTTCCACGGCACCGGGTTTTAGTTACAGTATGCAAACACTCCGCTGTGGCATGTGGGATCTTGTTCCCTGACCAGGGATCGAACCTGGGCCCCTGGCATTGGGAGCACAGAGATGCAGACCTTCTTAATGCCATGGCTCGGAGATCCCAGAACATCACTTGCACCACATTCTACTGGCCAAGGCGAGTCACCAAGTCAGTCCATATTTCGCAGGGAAGGGCCACATAAGGGTAGGGGTTCAGGAAGGGGGTTCACTGGTGTTATTTGGGGGGACCTGGACTCTGTAGGTAGTAAATGACTTTGAGTTGGTACATTTGGGAAGTGAGAGACCTTTGGATCTCTCACGAAGAGGATAAAGTAGGAGAAATCGAAAGTTAGTGGGCAGAGGAAGCTGGCAATACTGACTAGCAGAGACAGTAAAAGAAAGGAGAAGGGTATTTCAGAGTTTTGAAACACAGTGTTAAATTTAACATAAAAAGTCTGAGGGCAAACCAGA